AGTTTTATTTTATGTGAAAGAGTGATGCAGAGAGCTCCAATTCCCAAATGCCTGCAGTGGCTGGGGGCTTGGTCCAGCTTTCCTGTGTTGGTTGCAGGAACCCAGCTACCCCAGCCATCACTTACTGCATTATCAGGGGCTGCAGGGCCTTGAAGCTAGGCACTGGGTGCAGTGTCTCGGCTGCTATCCTGCCACTTTTTTGCTTATTTCGGAAGTCATGAAATTTTAAACCTGGAAATGCTCCCATTACATTAGGAAAGCAGAGACCCACTCACCCCTTGGGGGTAGGGGTGACATTGCTTCGAGTCTATAGAAGAACTAGTAACAATATTGAGACTAGCCCATTGCTTTTTCCACTGTGGACTGGACAGCTCTGTATGCCAAATTATTCAGTCCTTGGCAGTTTTAGACTCTTAAATCATAAAACCACTTGTAGTTACTGTAGTTGAATTTCTGTGCTAAGTGTAGCTTTGAGACTGTTTAAGCATCTGTAAATTAAAAAGTCATGCCTAAATTATCTTGGGGTTAGTTAATAGGGGCAGGGACAAACAAGCCCCGGTTCCCAGTGACCTACCATGGATTAGTAATCTGCTGCCCTGGAACTTGGAGGAATAATACTTTCTACAGGATCCTATCTTACTTAAAGAGAGGTTTTATAACAGCAATTTTTTATATTTTCTATTCACTATACTTAACCAATGTTTTAGGATCTTTCTGGGAGCCCAGTTTAAGTAGTAACTCTTTCTAGCCCATAATCAGAAATTAGAAAGATATAGTGGGATAAGACAGGTAGTTATCAAATACCAGTTTTATAACTGATATTACTTAAATAGCCCCAAACTTCTTGCAACTGCATGCTAAAGAGAGTCTCTTCAGAGGGGAAAAAAATTACTAAATTCTTGTCTTTTTAAAGGTTATTTCTTATCTGATAACAGACTTCCCACTTGTTGAGTTACTAACCTAAATGCCTACAACAGTCAGGTCTCTCACATGGGTGCAAGCCCAGACCAGAAGCTAGAGTCAGGAGTGGAGTTGGAACTCAGTCCCAGCGTACTGACATAGGGTGAAGGCATCCCAGCCAGTATCTTAGTTCCTAGGCCAGGCACCTTCCCTGTGACTTTTTTTGTATATGAATTAAGAGAAAAATAATATTTGGGAAAGAACCAATACTTATTAGTCCAACAAAATGTTCATATTTCTCTCATGTTGAAAAAACTATAAAATATTCAAGTTATCAGTATAGTGTTCAATTCTTTTATTTATTTTTGTTGGAAAGGCAGATTTACAGAGAAGGAGAGACAAAGATCTTCCAAATGGCTGCAATGGCCATAGCTGGCCCCTTTCAAACCCAGGAGCCAAGGGGTTTATTCCTGGTCTCCCACATGGGTGCTGGGTCGTAAGGCTTCGGGCCATCCACCACTAATTTCCCAGGTCATAAGCAGGGAACTGAGTGGCAATCAGAACAGCCCGACATGAACTGGTGCCCACGTGGAATGCCAGTGCTTGAAGATGGAAGGATTAGCAAGTGTGGCCATCACACCAGTTCCAGTGTTCAGTCTGATGAAGCACAGCTTTTTTAGAATTAAAACTGTAAAATCTGGGACCAGCACTTCCTGAGCCAGTATTCTGTTTCAGAGTACCTACTCCACCTTTAGCCCAGCTTCCTGAAAATGTGCCTGAGAAAGCAGCCGAAAACCGCCCCAGTACTTGAGACCTCACCGCACAAATGGGAGACCAAACCAGCAGATGGAAGATATCTCTGTCTCTATGGCATTCTACCTTTCAAATAAAAGTCATTTTTAATATGGAATTTTTTAGTTGATAAATGTGTTTTCTCTGATTATAATTTTATTTTTACCTTTCTCACTTTTTTTATTTTTTGAAACAGCTCACTCAGCTAACACCTACAATAATCAGGGCTAGGGATGAACCAGGGAGTGAAGTGGGTGGCAGGAACCCAATTACCTGGGCCACCACAGCCACCTTCTGTCTAGGATGCACATTAGCAGGGAGCTGGAGTCAAGAGCTGCAGCCAGGACACTAACCCAGGGCCTTTGATGTGGGGTAACTTACCTTCATTTTAACCAGGTTGGCGAAATTCTGGCCCTGATGGTATGTTCAAATAATCAGCTGAAATTCTTTCCGTTTTATTGAAATATTTATTGTATTTATATAAATCACATAATCACATTATCCAAAGAAAAAATGGTGCAGAATATGCATTGAGGGGCCAGCACTGTGGTGTGTTGGGCTGGGCTTCTGCCTGCCAGAGTGGTATCCCATATGGGTGCCAGAGAGTTCTGGGATCCACTTCCAATTCACAGCAAATAGCCTGAGAAGGCAGTGGAGAATGGCCCAGGCACCCAAAGTAGAAAACTGGGAAAAAGCTGCGGGCTACCAGCTTTGGGTTAGCTCAACTTCAGCACTGAGGCCTTTTGGGAAGTGAACCTTTTGATTTTGGGATTACCTCTACAAACTTATTTGATGGGAAAATATTGCACTGAAAAGAGTTTCTACTGCTGTGTTGGACTTACACCTCTACACATTCCAGGATCATATTTCCTAGTAGAAGTAAGCACATTGAATCCTAATCCAATATAACGAAATTTTCATGTATACAACAAGAAGTGCCAGGTGGAAGGGTTTATAACAGGAGCAAACATAAGTGGTTAGCTAAAAGGAAACTTAAAGGGATTTTCACAAGGTAATATTCGAGATGATCTTGGAAAATGAATGAGTGGTCACTGTTAAGAAAAAAAGATATCCCACCTTGAAAATAAAGGGGGGGTCTATAAAATAAGAAATTACAGGATACTCATCCCATTTTTTTTAAGATTTTTTTTTTTAATCTAGGGGTCATTATTTGCTGCAGCAGTTAAGATACAGCTTGAGACACCCATGTTGAAGTCCTGGGGTTGAGTCCTGACTCCTCCCCCAATTCCAGCTTTCTGCTGATGTCCATCCTGAGAAGAAGCAGTGATGGTTCAAGTGGCTGGTTCCTCCACCCACATGGGAGACCTGGAATAAGTTCCCAGTTCCTGCTTCATTCTGGTCCAGCTCTGGCCATGGTGGATGTTTGGGGAGTAAACCAGCAGACAAATGTCCGTGCCTGCCTTTGAAATATTTTGAAGTATGAAAGAAAGGATTTTTCTGCCTGTTTCTCATGTAAAATTGATATTACAAAATTTCAGTCACTTTTGTACAGTTAATTCAGTGATATTAAGCGCATTCATGTTGTACAGCCACACACCATTATCTTCAGAGCTTTTTCATTATAACAGATTGAAACTTCATACCATCTGTCCAAGTCCCTGTAACACACTGCTCCTTTGTGTTTGTGAATTTGGCTCTTTGTTACCTCATTTAAGTAGAATCCTGTATTTGTCCCGTAGTAAATAATATATGATCAAACACTTATTAGGTTAAATGGAGTATTTGGCTCATTCCACTTAGCATGTTTCAAACATCATTTATTATAGTATCTATCTGAGTTTTAGTTCTCTTTATGACTGAATAATATTCCATTATTTCCATATTTCATCCATTCATCTGTCAGTGGAAACATAAGCTGATTTCAGCTGTTGACAACTGTGAATAATGCTGATGGAAACACTGATATGCAAGTGTGACTTCTGCTTCCAGTGTTTTTAAAATTTATCTAAGAACAGATGTTATATATTTCATACATGTGGTTTTAAGAGCAGAGTGATACTTCCCACCCTAGCCTATCTCCCTCCCTTTCTGGCACTCTGCCTTCTCCTAATTTCCTTAGCTTTTTTCGGTGATACACTTTCAGCTTTCTTTAAAAACACAAGCTTAACACTCTGCGGAATACAGAGTTCAACACGTAGTAAGTAGAAAAACCACTGTTCCTAAAAACTATATAGACAAGGCCAATAATCAAATCTCAAAAATGGCAGTTTTGCTCATATATATTGCTCTGTTTTTAAGAACTTTGTATGTTACTTACCTCGAGTCTGCAAAATGTTTGTTTCTTGGGAACTGTCTTAGTTTACTAAACATAATGGTGAAATACAGGATTCTGTTTTTATGGCTAAGTAGTATTCCATTATATATATATACCACATTTTCTTATCCAGTCATCAGTTGATGGGCATCTGAGTGAATTCATTATCTTAGCTATTGTGAGTACCCCACAATGAACATGAGGGTGCAGGCAACTTTCGTGTGCTGATTTTTTTTTTTTAAACAGTTCCTGTATAGTTGATCCAAAGGGAGGAAGACAAAGGGTTACCGTCCTCCCAAGGCTGGGACAGAAGTGCCTGAAGGGCCCAGACGTTGCACACTTGGGAATAGAACAAGGTCGGATCAGGTTCAGTGTGGCAGTGAATGGAACTGGAGATCGTTACACGAAGTAAAATAAGGCAGACCTAGAAAGACAGACACATAGTCTGTTTGTGGAAGTTAGTATAAGGAGAGTAGTTTTTAAACAAGGGGAGAAGAAAAAGAAACCCCTGGGACAGTTGGGTGTTTTCTGTGAACAGGCCTCTTAATGTAATGAGTGGAGTTCAGGATGGGACATAAGAATGTATTTTCTTCCTGCTTTTAGTTCTTTTGTGTTTCTACCTAAAACTGGAAGTACTAGATCATAAGAGAATTTTATTTAACTTTTTGCCAGTTTTCACAGCGGCCACACCTTTTACAATCCCACCAGCGATGTACACAGAATTCTGTCTCCACATCTTTATCAACTTTTATAGTTTTGAAAACATTACCTTACTGTATACTAGACCCGTGAGAGCTATGAGGATATAATTCATGTCACCATTATGTAAAAAGGCTGGTCCCAGCCTCAGAAAAAGTTTGAATCTGCATCAGAATCTTGGCTCTTATCATATTGTTTGTGTGGTACAGAGTGTATTTTTGGGAAGTCCTTTGCAGTCAGAAAGTACTCTTACAAAATCAGACACTAAAAAGTAAAACAAAAGCTTTTTGTAGTTTTGCTGTTTGTAGCAATGTAATTTTCTTGTCCCCTACAGCTCCCTGCACAGGCAGTACTTTTTTTTGCCATAGCAACATGTGCATCAATAATTCTTTAGTCTGCAATGGTATTCAAAACTGTGCATACCCTTGGGATGAGAATCATTGTAAAGGTGAGTACTATGCAAAAACCAAACTGTTTTGAGGAAAAAATAATGTGCTTTTAATTAAGATACATTAAATGTTCTTTTTCAAAAACCTTACCTAGCATAGCTGATTAACAGCAGTGGAGACTTATAAGTGTTCTTTTCAGTGGATATGGTACAAGCACAAAGAAATACTTAATCTCAACAAAACTTTTGTTGTTGTTTGCAGAAAAGTTGGAAATGTGTCATGATATTTTCTGCCCTTATTGTCAAAATTTGTCATTTGTATTCTGAAGATACCTTACTAGTTGTCTAGATCATTTAAAAGGTAGCCTAGAATATTTTATTTAATAAAAGATCAAGGCTGACAGTGGCATAGTTAAGAGGCTGTTGCCTACAGAGGCCAGCCTCTCATGGGCACAAGTTTGGGTCCCAGTGCTCCACTTGCCATCAGCTCCCTGCTCATGTGTCTAGGAAGGCAGGAGAGAGTGGTCCAACTGTTTTAGCCCCGGTACCCACATGGGAAACCTGGAAGAAACTTTCCTCCTAGCTTCAGATTGGCCATATGGAAAATGAAGCAGTGGATGGAAGACATCTCTGTTAAAATAATTAATAGGGTCAGATACAATGGCTCAGTTGACTAATCCTCCCCCTGCAAGTAGCAGAGTCCCATATGGGCTCCAGTTGATGTCCCTGCAGCTCTGCTTCCCATCTAGCACCCTGCTTGTGGTCTGGGAAAGCAGTAGAGGGTAGTCCAAAGCCATGGGACCCTGCACCCTCATGGGAGACCTGGAAGAGGCCCCTGGCTCCTGGCTTCATATTGGCTCAGTTTCAGTCATTGTAGCCATTTGGAGAATAAATCAGCAGATGGAAGATCTTTTTCTCTGCCTCATTTTCTCTGTAAATCTGCCTTTCTGATAAAAATATATCTTTAAAAAAATCAATTGATAGATTCAGTGTTATACCCTAAAAACAGACCTATTCTAAAAACTGCTTTTTAAAAATTTTCCATAAAATTCTCCATGCTACAGTTCTGGTATATGCTCTGAAAAATAAAATACGACTGGTGGCAATAGCTGAATGTCTGCAAGCTGATTATCAAATCAGTGTCTCAGAATTAAAGTTTTGTCTTTCAAGAGCCTAATAGTTTTAATATATGACAAAGTGATATAATTGTATGTGGTGTCTTGAGTACTTGACTTGAAGTATTTTCTGATAATCAAACAGAACATGAAACAGGTGGCTGGATTAGCCTGATCATGTTGATTGTTCTGTCGTAGTCACCAGTAGAAATATAAGGGGTATCCTTACACATGGCTGAAACCTACCATACAGCAGAAAGCTGAATTTAGTAAAACAAGAGTATTTATTGTGCCACTTCCTGCATTTTTTGAATCTAATTCACAAGTTGCATGCATTTGTATACCTTTTGAGTAAAGGAAGCAAGCACTTTATTTTTCTATAATCGATCAAGCTACATTGTGATTAACCAGAAATCACTGTAAGATTTTTAAATCTTGTTTTAAAAACCTGTTTTTAAGGTGCATTGCCTTGGGCATATTTGACCCAAGTGTTCTCCTTTACTTAAAATTACCTTACCAGCTTGTGCTGAGACTCATATTAACAAAATTTGAAAACCCTTTTTCTCTCCACAGAAAAGAAAAAAGCAGGAGTGTTTGAACAAATCACTAAAACCCATGGAACAATTATTGGCATTACATCAGGGATTGTCTTGGTCCTTCTCATTATTTCTATTTTAGTACAAGTGAAGCAGCCTCGAAAAAAGGTCATGGCTTGCAAAACTGCATTTAATAAAACGGGGTTCCAAGAAGTGTTTGATCCTCCTCATTATGAACTGTTTTCACTAAGGGACAAAGAAATTTCTGCAGACCTGGCAGACTTGTCAGAAGAGCTGGACAACTACCAGAAGCTGCGACGCTCCTCCTCTGCCTCCCGGTGCATTCACGACCATCACTGTGGATCGCAAGCAGCCAGCGTCAAACAGAGCAGGACCAATCTCAGCTCCATGGAGCTTCCTTTCCGCAACGATTTTGCACAACCACAGCCAATGAAGACATTTAACAGCACCTTCAAAAAAAGTAGCTACACTTTTAAACAGGCACATGAATGCCCTGAACAGGCTCTGGAAGACAGAGTAATGGAGGAGATTCCCTGTGAAATTTATGTCAGGGGGCGAGAAGATTCTGCACAAGCATCCATATCCATCGACTTTTAATCTTCGACTTAAGGTGACATGGTCATTCAGTGCGTGTGTATGCAGCCTACAGAATACCCATGCTGTTTCCAACAAGTCCCCTTCCCCTGTCAAAACTGGGAAAACCTTTATTTGCTCTTAACCTATTCATTGTGTCAGGCAGTATATACATGTTCAGTCAACAGAAGTAAACCACCGTGTGGTGTTACACGGCGCTTGGAGAGGGGAGTGGCCGTCTCGTGTCAGGCCCAGGCTGTCTCAGTATTAACAACAGGAGTACTGCTGTGGATAATACAGCTGTCAATGTTTTGATCCAAAAATAAACTGAAAAATAAGATTTTCCTTTACATTTGTATTATTTTTCTTTAAGTCGGTTTGTTTTATGAACTTAGAAATTTTAGCTTTGGATGTTTTATATAAAAATAAGTGGTTCATGTGCCGCATACTTCAGCATAAGCCTTTCTTCTGAAGTGTGTCAAAATTACAGCTAATTACTGTGATAAGTGCCAATTAAGACTCAGAGTTGTATTTCATCCATCTGTTTCTTGACTTATTTCTCTACTTCCATCTTTTGTTACTGGATTCTCAGTCCTTTTTCTGTGAGAAGTAGTAAATGATATGATTTATCACCTTTATATTTTGTGTAAATTACCCTAGAAAATTTCATAACCCCACAATGTCTACACTATCATTACCAGTTATAACTAAAATATGAGAAACACAACAGCTTTCTAGTAAGCCTTCAGAATTTCTCAAATTAGGTCATATCCAGTGAAAGCCTGTTCATTCCAATAAACAGTCATTCATTTGGGGGAAGCAAGTAATTATGTTTATTTGCAATGATTCCAGTCACCAATCTATTTCCTGTTGTTTTTATGGTTGTTAGCACTGTGTTTTATCTTATGACATACAGGAACCAAGGCTTATGAAAGTTAGTGGGAAATTCTTGAGCAACTGTAACCTTTTAAATTGCGTCTTAACATGGGACAGTACATTTTTTCTAGCTCTTAGCTAAAGTAACAACTTCCTCTTTTTAAACAGCATTTTTGATGTTATGTTTCTTATGGTATATAAAATGATAAGTTTTAAACATAATATGGAACTCATTGTTTTTACTTTTGATATTGTTTGATACTAGACAAACTAAATACAGATTTCATTCAGTATTCACATTAGTAGATCTGAATGCAGGTAGTGTATCATGGAGCTGTGTACAATCTGTTGTAAAGAACTTGATGTGTTCATAAGCTTTGTTAACTGGATTTAGTTTATTATCATTTTCTCACCATATATTTATTGCTTTACATCACTGCATAAATCATATACCTTGTTACATGGTCCTTCTATCATGTATTGAGATTTGAGATCTAAATATATATATATATATATATGGAAAAGGAACCTGTTTACCAAATCACAAGTAATAGAAAAATTCTCATTTCTGTATTTCCTGTAAATTCTCAAGTGAGAATTTGGGGTTTTGTTGAATTTCACTGAGTCTTTTAAGTATATGTAGATATGTTCTCTTAGATTCATGAAAATTATGACCTTAAATATATACACACATACTGCTTCAAGATGTGTTTTTAAGACATGTTTAATTTTATAAAATCAAATGTGCAGGAGATAGGATAATCTACACAGAGTATATTTATTATTTAATTTTAAGTTAGCATGTTTCCCTGTTGAAAAAAAATACAATTTGGAAAGCGAAACAAACTGAAGAATACACTATTCAAAGAACTAACATGAGAAACCAATCGGATAGTTGAATTTTTTCAATAATTTTGCTATTCAGACATTAAATAGGTTAGTTAGGAAAGTCAAGTTTTTAACTGCCTTTCATAGTTACTCCAACTGCGATCTTCAGCTAAAAGGAAATTATTTCCTATGTAAAATTATATCCATTTTAATCTCTAGGACATAGTAGAAAATAGTTATGACCGTGTGCATAACTACATTATGTATAATTGTCGTGTTTTTATTTCTCAGTTTGTATTCTGTTTTTTTTTAAAAGAGTTTGAAAAATCTCACAACATACAGAGCCTTGAAAGAAGACAGTTCAAACAGCACAGAAGTGCATAGTTTCAAGTTGGGTAGTATATTTAGTTCTAAATATTCTGCAAAATTTTTCTTGTCACTGTAGAAAATCCAAACTTGCTAGCAGAAGCTTCTTTTTTGTAAGAATTTTTATAAGGGGCAACATAGCCTCAACTAAAAAAAAAAAAAAAGAGCAGAGTGTGCACAAAGGTCACAAAGGTATAAATCCTAAGCCAGTGAGCGCACAAACCAGATGATGGGCAGCGAAGCCAGTGCTGGACCACTGTGGATCATTCCTCCAAGGAGCTTTCCACCATTCATTCCTAGCTACATTTTGGGTCGGGTGTAGGGAAAGAGAACAGAGCTATCAAGTTTAAAACTATTATTAGGATACTGCTAATTTTGTATATATAATCCTTCGTCTTTGAGGTCAATGAAACTACTTTACAGATTGTCTAATTAGAGCAAAAGCCATAAATTTGGCAATAAAATTTAGCCCTCTTGTGGAAGTTACAATCTCCTGCACACTACCCCATTGACAAATATGAAGGAACTTCAAAAAGTTTCTGGAAAAAAAAATGAAATAAAAAGGTACGTATTTTGGTGCAAAAAAAATTTTTTTTAACATGCATAGTTGTTTTTAGAACATTTCTTATGAACTTTCTGAAGACTCCTTATTATCTTCCAACAAAATACGGTTCTTGGAAGAGCTATTCAATTCAAGGACAGGGTTAAATACACTTTCATGATATTGTCATCATTATCTTCCATTCTAAATTTAACACATAATGTCAACCCTCACTGCCCATAAATTGCAAAGTAACCTACTAATCTCAGCACTTTAAGTATTTAGGAATAAAATGAGGTATTCTTTTTGTATGGGGTGGGAAAGAATAGAGATTGAACAGAAAGAAAATAATTTCACATAAGATTTTAAAACAAATACTGCTTTGATTTAACATCACATCTGTCAATGTCTTTGTCATTTTGTATTGTTGAGCAGTAAAATAACTTCCTAAACGTCCCTCTCTAAACATGTTTCTCTCCTATGAGGAGGATGCATCTTTGCTTTAGGATTGTGACAACTGATGAGACCAGACAGGGAAAGCCTGGTCATAATTCCAGGAGTGATTCTCAATGAAGACATTGCTGTCATTGCAAAACGGTATCTGCTATGTTGGTCATGTTATCTTATTAAACATAGTAAAATAATGCTGGAGAGACCCAGAAGAAACTTGGGTTCTTCAGTGTTCTTAAGGATCCAAGAAAGATGATCTGGTGCAACCTTATTGATGAGAAGACTGGAGCCCAAGACAAGTGAGTACCATGTCTCAGAAGTCCTTCCCCAGTGCTTGCTCCTTGTTTTTCGGCTGTCACCCTGCTTTGCCAGCTGTAAGTCAAGCAGTCCTGAAACAGGCCAGGTGTTCCATAAAGTTTGTCAATCATTCTGATTTTGAAATGTAATCTATTCTGCTAGTTTTCTTCAGAGCATTTATATTTCACCCTTTTTCTTTGTTTATATATGTAACACCATGTTATCCTCTAGCTTGTTGCCATGATTCCTTAGCACCTGCAAACTGTAAGACAATTACTGTGAATTCTTAATAAATAATGTTTGTTAACAATCGATTGACTTGATACCAGACACAGCCTGAGTGTTTTGTTTTTGTGATCTTTTAAAAATCTAAGCAAAAAAATTGAACATCGGTGTGCTCTATTTGTGGAGGTTTGAAGAATGATTTGAGTTCTTAGCCATTACAATGTTAAATTAACCTGAAATATACAACTAGTATGTTAAGGAAATAACTTTTTCTTAATGAAAAATTAACTTATTTTTATATACTCCCAATAGTAATTTAAATTCTGAATTTGCTTTACATTTTCTATGTATTTCTGAGATTGGCTTAATGGCTATGAAAGCCAAAAAAACGATGACTGGGGAGCATGTTTATATGCTGTCAGGAATGAACCCTTTAAAAAACAGTAAACTTTTACTAGCTATGAACCTCTGGATCATAGAATTCACATGTGCTTAACCTTGGATTTGATTCTTTACTGTGACAATCTTGACCCTTAAAAAAAAACTGTTTTCATTTTCTTGCCTCAATAAGTCTCCAGTAGCTCCAAAGAGTTTAGGATCCATTTTTTTTTTTTCTGTCTAGTAGCTTCCAAAATAATCAAAGATTGGAGCTTTTTTAAAGTCCACCTTGCAATGCCAGTTGCAACACTGGTATTCCATATCAGTGCCAGTTTGCGTCTCAGCTACTCTTCTTCCAGTCGAGCTCCCTTCTAAAGTTTCCTGGAAAGCAACAGAAAATGGCTTAAGTGCTTGGGCCCCTGCTACCCATGTGGGAAGCCTGGAAGAAGCATTGGCCTAGCCCAGTGTTGGCAGATTTGACCATCTGGGAAATGAATCAGTGTTTTACTCTGTGGCTCTTTCAATGAATTACCTTTTCAAAAAAACAACACGGAGCTATTACAACTTGGTACCATTTGTGTTTTCAAATAATCTTCCAATGAAAATGAGCTGGAGAACACACACACACAGGTGTCTTAGGTTGCCTGCCAGATCCAGCCAGCTGTATCCAGTCACTGAAACAGCAGTGAGCAGAGTGGGCTGTCCGAACAGGCTGTCCTTTTGAAATACAGAATACCTGGGTCACAGCATCGGCTTAGGGAAGACAGATAAATAGAACTTACCTGCAGAGAAAATTGTGCAACAAACGGAGAGCAAAGAAAGGCAGAAACTCCTCTGAACTCAAGTCATCAGATACAGATCAGAGTGCCACAGAGGAATAAAATCTGCAGAGCAGTTTTTCTTTCTGTGCTATTTAGGATCAAGAAACACTTATTTACAAGGGCTCTCGCCTTCCAAGCTTTGCCACATTCTATAACATCTGATGCCATTAGGCCTCTGAGCTGGTAAATGATTTATTGAAATGTTTTAAGTAGCTGCTGATTGCCAGAAAGAATTTTCATCAGAAACTCAGGTATTGAACCAGGCTTTTCAAATCTTGGCTTTATTTCTTCCATTGATGAGATTGTCGTGTTATATTAAGTGCTTTTCAGAGAAATATTCAGAAATCTTGAAATAAAAGAAGTGTGAATAGAAAAGGAGTTTTTTTTCTGTACCCTTCCATTTTTCTACCACTCTGCCATATATGTAAGACAATTGAGCCATAAAAATGAACACAATGATTAAAAAACTGACTGCAAGTGGCTCAAACTCAGCCTGTGAC